CAGGGGGGGGGGGGCTCCGTGTGTGCGGTGGCTCACCGGGCGGCGTTGACGCTCGAGGAGCAGTGGGAGACCTTGTCGGACATGGCTCTGTGCACGTCGAGGCTGTCTCCTGAGGATGTGGCGAGGGTGCAGGTAAGGGAGGATCGTGTGTAAACAAATGGTGGGGTGATCGGACGTCGCTGCAGTCGGATGATAGTAGAGGAGATGTGAAGGTATGAGAGGACCGTATTAATATGTTGTGAGGTGGTCGGACGTCGCAGCAGTGGGATGTATTAGAGGAGATGTGAAGGTATGAGAGGAGCGTATGAATAGCGAGGTGGTCGGATGTCACAGCAGTCGGATGTATTGGAGAACATGTAAAGGTGAGACAGGAGCGTACGAAAAATGTCATGCTGAAGTGGTCGCAAGTGGCTTCAGTCGGATGTACTCGGTATGAAAGAAGCGTATCGCACACGTGCCGGCACTATGATATTGATGATTATTTTTCTTGTAGAGGGGCGTTGACACTGTTCACGTGAAGTTCAAAGGGTTGAGCCGCCACTCGGCGGTTGCGTTTGCGGTGGCCTTTACGTGTGCCTTGTGTGGTGTTTTGCTGTCTCAGTCAAGAGCACAAGCGCTTGGCATGGCATGCGTTGTCATTCTCTACGGGCCCGAAAAGGAAACCTGCCCAACGTTTCTGTATTTTTTTGCACCAACACCTGCACCCAAAAAGCGAACGAGAAAATTCCCGTCATCGTGCGCCCCCCTCCCCCGCCCCTTCCCTATTATTGCCACTACCCACAAACCTGTATTCCGTTAAGCTTTCGGGCATCCCTCGGACAGCAATGGAAATCTGCGCCAACCTTTCTGTGTGTTTTGCACCAAAACAAACAAAAAATCCCCAGCGACGCCGCCCCATTCCTCTCTTACCTCCTCCTCCCTATTATTGTTCGACTCCTGCCACAAATCTGTCCTTGTCTTGATTTCCGCGAAGCTTTCGGGCATCCCTCGCCTGGAGTCCGCACGCCTCCTCCACTTGCACGGGGGCCTGGCCCTCCTCCCCGGGGACGGCGCTGCGTCCCAAGCGGCGTCTGCCTCGCAAGCGGCTGCTGCTGCTGCGGCGGCGAGCAGCGCGTTGTTCTACAACCCTTTCGAGGAGGCGGGCGGAGGGATGGACGACGAGGAGTCGGACGACGGGGATGGGGACATTGATAGCCACGGAGGGGAGGGAGGTGGGACGCGTGGGGGTGGTTGTATCGAAGTGATGATGTGTTGTGTACAAAATGCGTGTGTCGTTGCCCTGTCGGGATGTTGTGCGCAAGTGATGGGTGTGTTTTGTACACGCGCGGTTTCGTGTGTCCTTACCCTGTGCAGACGTATTTTTTGTTACGTCGTCGCGATGGTGTGTTGTGTACACACACGCTTTCGATCGCATTGCCCTGTCTGTGTGCTTTTGCTCGTGATGTTGCGGCGTCGTGACCATGCCTTTTGTCGCACATGGTTTTGAACGTCGTGGCCGTCTGGAAGTTTTGTGTCTTGTGTCTTGTGTTTTGTGTCGCCGTGATGTGCTGCGTCGCGATCCCGTTTTTGTTTTTGTCGGATTTGTGTCTTGTTGCTGCCTGTCTATCTGGCGAGATAGCGAAAGAGAAAGAGCGAAATCCGACGACGACGGTTCTCTTTGAGTTCGCGGTCCCCGATCCAGAAGAACAAGAATGTTCGGTGACTGAAACTGTTCCGAACTTGTTGTTCATGTGGTCTACCGCGGTACGCAACACATGCATGACGCACCGCGACTCGCGAGCGAGCGACGTTGGGGAGCGCCGCACACCTCTCTCCCCGCGCTTTTTTTTTTGTTGTTGTTTCATGTGACCTTCTCCCCCACCCCGGGTCCTGTGGCTGTGCAGCGGTGGCGCGGGAGGGATTGTGTTTCCCGGGCCTAGAGCCCTGCTGCATCCATGCCGTGCTTGCAGTTCACACGTCCTCTTCCCTCCCCCATGTGTCCGTCCCTGCCTGGTATGTGTGTGTGTGTGTGTGTGTGTGTGTGTGTGTGTGTGTTCGCGAATCAACACCAACGCCATCAAGGGCGCGCGACACCGACTGGCCAGGGGGGAGGAGGCGACAACGGAGGGAAACCGGGGGCGGAGCTCCCAGCTCGCTGGGCGGCAGGCGAGACGGGTCGCGTGGTTACGAGGTTCTCCAACCCTTTGCAGGTGCCTCTGGAGGTGGAGTCGATCACGGCGGTCGTGGACGGGGCTAGGGTGCAGGCGTTCCCCACGAGCGTGCTTCTTCCTCCGCGGGCGGAGTTCCATGAGGTTAGTCCTAGCGTCGGGGGGGGGGCTGCTGCTTGTGTTTTGCATGCCTTGGTTGTTAGACGATTAATGATTGACCTGGTGGGGGTGGGTGAGGGGAAAGAGACGTTCTTGCGGCATTTTGTTGAAACCGCGGGTGTACGCGCAGGTGTGGTTTGTGTTTCTGAGAGTTAAGTGGTGTTGTTGGTGGGAAACCTCAATGGAACTGGGAGGGGAGCATTGAACCTTTGATTTTGCTCTCGGAGGAAGGTCTTCGAAGGCCGGTGGTGTGCATCCTAGTGGGATGGAACACGAGTTGAGTGTCGAGATAGATGTTTGTTAGGGCTCGGAATAGAGCTTGACTCCACGGCGACGGGCCGGCTGCACAAGGGTGCTGGCATTTGGCTGAAAAACGCAGGCGTCAAGGACGTACCTGGGGCGACCATGAGTGTGGAGACGGGCTGCGAGATTTGCCTCCGCCGAGAGTTCCCGCAGGGCGCGCCACCCTAACGATGTTGCACATCCGCGACGTATCTCTGTGTGTGTATATCTCTCTCTCTGTGTCTCTTTCTCTATCTCCATCTCTCTCTTCTCCCTCTGTCTCTGTGAGTCTCTCTTCCCCCTCTCTCTATATCTCTCTGTATCTCTCTCCCTTCTCTTAAGTGGTCGTGCGTACTCACGCGCTTGTCTTCGACTATCGGCGCGCTCACCCTCCCGCTGCGCGCTTTTGCTTACCAGGTCGTTCTCTTCATCAAACCTCTGGAGGACGGGCAGGTGGTCTTGAGGGGCGTGTCTGTGGAGGTGCTGTCCCTGGTGACCATGTGCAGGGTAGACAAGTTTGGAAGAGGCGTGTCTCCCGGGTGAGTGGGACGACGCGGAATATCGTGAGAGTCGCACGGGACACCACCAACTACCTCAAAGTGTCACCCCAGTAATTGGGGTGGGTATGTGCCAGGCCGATTTAGCCCGCCCTGCTGTGTCTCGGGTGAGTGGGACGACGTGGAATACCGTAAAGGTCGCACGGGATACGCATACCACCAGTCACCCACAGCTATTAATCGTGGGCCCTATGCATGACAAAAGGGGCGCGTGTGTGCCAGGACGATTTAGTCTCAGTTGCAGCCGGCACCCGCCCTGTTGTAGAAGTATCTGTGCCAAGATATGTTCACCAACCTTGTAGGAGGCCCACAACTGTACCCCGGATGCTTGATTCATGGTGGTGTTCTTTGCACAACAGGAAGAAACACCGTTCGTTCAGAAAGAACTTACATGGTGAAGACTTCTCTTCTAGAGTGCAGAGAGAGAGGGCAGGCAGACAGATAGACAGACCGACATGTTATAGAAAGCTAATTTTCCTCGATTACTCACCATCGTTCGCGATTGGCAACCCTTCTGTGGCGGAGATGGATGCAGCTAAAAATATGAACCTGAGAGAGGGTATAGTCTACCTCTCCCTCGCGCCCGCCGGCTGACGGTTCGCCCGCTGCTGACGTGAAAAGCACCCCCCGTATCCCACCATGCGTGTGCTGATAATTCAGACCGAGGGCGCCCCCGCCGCGGACGTACAAGAGCCTCCGAGCCACCTTCCGCCAGCCCAAGCAGGCCTTGACGACGGATACCGTGGACATCGCCGCCGCTGCAGCGGCGGCGGCGGCGCAGGCGGAGGCGGCGGCTGCCGCCGTGCAGGCCGAAGAGGAAGGTGAGCACACAAGAAAGAGGGGGGGCTCGAGAAAGTGGGTTGGTGGTCCCAGTCCACCTCCTCCTGCTTCTGCTGGATAATGGGATTGGTGCGTTGGCAGGTGTGTCTCGCTGTCGCCTAGCTACTAAACCCGTCAAGCACGGCGACGGCGTCCCCGTTGTCGGAGATACAAGCATAAAGAGGGGGGCCTTGAGAGGGTTGGCTGGGGAACGGGGTCGGTGGTGATGGAGCGGGGGGGGGGG